TTCCACTGAGACTGTTTCTGATGAGGCTTCATTGAGCAGTAGATGGATCCCTCAGCTCATCTAATCCTCCTATTTCTTAACACATGACTGTCAGAAACTGTTAATCTGCTGCAGCTCTTTAACTCTTCCACTTCTTTTTTTGTAATCTCTTAGTTTCCTCATTTTTTTAAGGTGGCACTGCTCACCAAATCCAAAGTCAACATGCTATTATAGAATGGAGTTGAACCTGTAATGGAGTTTGATTTAAACCAATCTAAGCAATTAAGTGAATGATGATGAGCAAAGAAATGATGGTGGAGGTCGTGGATGAAGACCCGGACAGCTGTGGTTGGCTCCTCGTATATAGCAGAGTGAGGTTGTGTTTGCACATTATCATAAAACCATGTTCACCATATATTTTAGCTGCAGACAATGACATTATTTGTTTTGCTGTGGTGATGTTATTCCACTTTGGTAAAATGGGAAAACCATCATTTCTTGCTGTTATTCACACATTATTCCAAGAGCATCAACACAAGCCTTGCCATAACTCTTGGGGTCGAGAGTAGTTTCGGCTACACGCTGTTGAAATGCCTCAAGAGCACCTTTGGCGGGGCATCCTTGACTGCATCCAATCACCGGAGGAGCCCCTCCCAACGTTTGTAGCTCACATGCTGGGTGAGTTTAATAGGCTAAGGTGCCTGCCACCGAAGCACGAACAGATCTAGCTCATATGTAAACACTCGTTGGAGAAGTATCGGGTTGCATTGTACTGTACGCCGGTCCCGTCGGTTATGAACCTGCTGCTTCACGTGCACGAGCTCCACACAGCCTTAGGGCCAGTTGGCCCCTCAACCCCTACTTCATCCTCTAGTGTAGCTGGTGTGAAAGAACCGCATTGTTTTAAATGCTTCCGCCCGGGGTTTACCACACACACGTGCCCAAGTTGCGCCTGGGTTGCCCCAAAAGAACGAGGTGCTACCAGACCCAGGGCAACCTCTCACTGGCCTCTGACACTGCCTCCTCGACCCACTTCACTACCCCTTCCCTGCAGACATACATTAATCAAAATCACATTGGACAAATGAGTGAACCAAACAAAATCAAACTGAGGTGTTTTTATTTCTATTCTTGGCAGTGATTATTCCCCAGCTGACAACCAAGAGGTCATCACAAATTGTTAAAATGACAATAAAGGTTTTGATCAGCAGGGGGGGGGGGGGTTGTGGGCACATATAGCTGCGAGAAATAAACCTCTTTTTTAACCAAATGGACAAAATGCTTCAAAACTCCATTTGGCCATCACTAGCTTTGGGGGGGTATTTTTGAGAGACAGGATGTCAGAGGGCAGGCTGGAATCTGAAAAAGAGAGGGTGGGCAGGCAGGTGAGTACCAGAAGAGAGTGGTTTACTGGAAAGTAGCAGAAGGCTGTAGTTATGGAGGATATACAGCCCAGTTTTACCAGCGAGGCAGTAGTTAGACTACGAGGAAAACACAGGACTTAGCAGGAACAAGATACAGTTAAACAACAATTTACCACATAGTAACAGGACAAGCTGGCAGAGACCCACAGTCAGAGTTGATCCTAAATACAGAGCCTTTAGATGAGCAAATGACTTACAGGTGTGCAAAGCAACCCCGGGCTCAGCAGCTCTACACTCGATGAAATCTGACCCACAAATCTGCCTGTGGAAGAAATACAGCGAAGACAGCCATGCAGACGGCAGTATGCTGCAGGAGGGTGTCAGCATACATTAAAGAATCAAAGACGTAAGGCAGGAAACAATATTGTTTAACCTGGTCCAATTTGTCTTGTTAAACAGTCGAAGATACACACCGTCTCTGCTTGCCGTTCTGTAAAAGTCACTGCACGTCACTGGATTACAATGAAAACTATTCTTAACACATCAGGAAACAGTGATCCATAGATGATGTTAGATTACTGGGGAAAATAAAGAGAAAAACCAGGTTGGCAAACTGTCCTCGGTGGACTAACAGTGTGTTGATTATTTGATTGTTTTGAACATTTCAGTTCCTGTGTGTTGCCACAGGGGGGCAGCTCTGGTGTTAGAGAGAAAACCATCAGCATCCAGAAGAGACATGATGGCACAGAGTGTAGCTGTGAGTTCACCACAGTGCTGCGTTATGCAAAGTTAGAGTAACAAACGGCTCAGTCGTGTTGATCAGAACTTTCCAAAGTAAGTTGAAGAACTATTAAAGCAAATAAGATGAGAAAGGTGTAACATTCGTTCCCTCAGGTCCCCAAATCAATAATCAGCTGAAGTAGCAGTATTATTATTATGAAGTAGTAGTAGCATTATTGAGTACAGACAGAAAAATCACACTTCCATCCACCCGGACAAGCAGAACTGGGCAGAGAGCCGCTTTAACATTACTTGACTTTGCTCTCTGCCCATTTGTGAACTCGTGTTATTTACCAACTTTATAAGTTGAGTTAAAAAGTTGTATTATAATTCACCACAAAGCAGATTGCAGAGAAGCTCATTGTATGTCTTAAATGCTCAGTAGAAGTGCCCCCTGAACTCCAGCCACATTTAATGCAGCCACAGGTATGTATCAGCTTATTTGGTTACTGGGCCCTTTCCACTGAATGACGTCTATCTTCACATCACTTCTTCTTTTGTTCATTTATGTTTCCCTTTTCTTTTGGTTTCAGTAATCACTCTTTACAGTGTTTTTGTCTTTGTGCTCTATTTTTCTATATTTGATTTATTTCCCACAAATGTCTGCTAACAACAACCTGAGATCTTTTATGAGGAATCATCAGTTTCAGAGCGAGCATCCACCTGTAACCATGGTTACTCATTATCACCTGCATGCACAGTCTCAGAGGAGAAACAGACTGTGCTGCTGTTTAAGCCTGAGCATGACGTACGATTC